TTTAGCCCATCCCCCCCACCTACCTCCCAACAACAAGCCAAAATGTTATTTTATGTTATTATCTTTCACTAGAAAAACAATACAAACAGGAACGGTTGATTAAAAAATATAGGTTTTTAACTCATTGGAATTAAAATATGGCTTAAATTGGGTATATTAATATACCTAATTATTTTGAAAAGTGTTCTCTATAATCTTAAATTAATATGGTTTCTTTGAATTTAAGGTTCTGCCTCTGTATGGGTGCAATCCGCATTTTAGATGCATTACTTCTCATAATTTCATTTTAGAGAGATTTGTGTTGCTTTTAATCCCCTTTGCTGTAGTTTATGCAACTTTTAAAAGTGAATTGTTAGCCACGAAATTGAAGCTAAAATTATAAGCTCCTACATTTTCTTCTTAGAGAAGAACTTTAGTCTGGTCATTAAAAGAATTATAAAGCCTAAATTTTCATATAAAATAGTGAATTCCTCTCAAAACACAGTATGAATTAGTCAGTAAAATAATCCAAGCCCAGAAATACGTATTTTCTGGGCTTTTTTCTGATTTTACGTAAATTACATCCATGCATATCAACAAATGTACAAAAAATGTGGGAACAATATAGAGCAGAATCTGGAAAATAAGGCAAATGAGAAAGTCTAAAATATTATAAGTAGAATTGACTAGAGTAAATATGTCTAAAATGATGAGTTTTGTTACAAAACATTCAAATCAAGAAGTAACCATTCATGGTTCTCTGCTTTAGGAGTCCTCCCACAATGTAATGTAAGAATGTGACTAGAGCTCTAAAGTCTGTGTCTGGTTCTACCCATTCACTAGCTGTTGGTATCAGAGACTCATTTTCCCCCTCTTTATCATATAGGCCATTGGACCAGATACCCATAGAGGCCTCCCAGGGATAAAACACTAGAGGCTCATTTCCTGTCTGTTCTAGAGAAGAACGATCCTTTTCCTTTGAGCAACATTCAAGATACTTAGGTGTTTGTGCCCCTGGCCTGGATTTGGGGATTTAAGTAATACTGGTTCCCAGGTAGCCTCTCATGACTTCTTGAGGTAGTCCATATTTTGAAAGCAAAACTCTAAACAACATCTCTCTCCCCACTCACATGATAGTCATTCTTGTTACTACAGAAAAATCCTGAAGAGGGAGAAGAGGGAGAGTAATCAGAGATTGTTGGAATAAATTGATAGCAGCTATAATCCAGGTTTGAGAGGTGAAAGAGAGGAGTCATGTCTGCTCATTGTATTATTCCAGACATCATCTGGTCCACCATTGTTCTACTGATGTTGGACAGTTTGCATTATTGCCATCTGTGCTTGTCAGGGGCTCCTCGTCTTTCCCATTACATGTCTACTCATTGCTAGAGGCTGCCCAAATCACCAGCCCAAGAACAGATACTTAAGAAAAAAGTTCTCATCAGCATTCATGCAATAGTACACCAAAAAGAAGAGCCAGGCAAAGAAGAGATCTTTCAAATCCTGCTCTCTGATTTGGGAAGAATCCAATTTAGTCCAAATTGTGGTGTCTGTGGCATTTGCTAACACCTGTTGTGTGTGGAAAACACTTTTCTCCATAGTATCTAGTCTCTAGAACCTCCTCCCCAAATAATCTGGAGAGAAACTTCTTATAACAAAACATTAAAAGCCATCAGTGATGTTCTCCTGTATGTTTGTCTTGTTCTTGAATACATATCACTGAGATAGTACACCCAATTAGCAAAGCTATATTTTACCATAGATAGCTTCTTTTTAGGTTCTCCCAAAACTTCCTTATGGTTTTTAAAGAAGCTGAAGGCGTGATGACTGCCTATCTTCCTTTGGCCTAGTTACTTGGAGTGTATGTTTGGTTGGCTGTTGATGAAGTCCTCTATTACCCAAGCCTGTTGACTGATCCATCATTCTCTGACTAGGTATCTGTTCTCTCTTCCTTTTTGCTGATCACAGAGGCGCAGCCCGGTAAGAACTCTCAACATTTTTACCTTAAACATCTATAGAGAAAATAATTGCCAAGGCAAGGTAGCCACTTTTGGCTTCCCATTAAACTTAAAACCCAGTATGAATGAGGCAGATAAATTAGGTTTACTGGTTGGAAGCCTTTGGTCCTATAAGCATCAAGAGCGTATTTTAGGATTATCAGAGCAGTTTTCTATAACAAACTAAATTAATAGATAGGTATCCCAAACCTAGTGCTAAATTTGAAAAATGTGTGTGTGTGTGTGTGTGTGTGTGTGTGTGTTGGGTGGGTGGGGGTGTATGTGTGTATGCAAGGCCTGGAGATTGACCAGAAAGCACCATAGAAGTTTAGAGCAAAATGATAATAAAGAATAAGAATAGTAAGGAAACGATTTTTAAGCCACATTGTTTTTAAGCCTGAATTTAATATAAATTCCTGGACCATAATTTACATTGATCAGTATATACTGATACATAATAATATAATCATAATTTATGTATTAGGAGAAAGAGACATATTTTCAGGCCATACCTCTAGGCTGTCGCATTATTCTATTATTTCACCACTGAAGACCAATAAGTATTAATTTGCATTGCTCAAAGTGAAATCTCAGTCATTTTTCTCAGGTTGAAGAGTATGATGAATTCAAGCAACAAAAAGAAGGGTCTTTGCTATGTTTGAAATGGCCCCCATCTACCTTGAAAGAGGAAATGGAACTGAAAACAATGCTCTCTGAAATGCCCTCCAGGGGCATATGCCATTTGATTAATCATTATTTGAGGCCACTACTCTGCCCCCAGTTGACAAGCTATTTGTACTATACAGCCAATGATCAAAGACAACACCTCCAGGGACTGCTGTTCAAGTGTGGATGATTCCTACCCACCAGTTAGGCGACATTTCAGATTATGACAAGTACTCTTTTTATTTTAAAGGAAAAAGGGAATTAACTAATTCAAAATGAAGGTAGTTTATTCACAATATACATGTAAGGACAATCACTGAAAAGAGAAAAAATGTGGTCCTTTGGAAAGAAGAAGATTTTTTGATCCAGTGGGCTGAATGTGGTTTGTGTCAACAAAAACTTAACCTCGTTCTAGATTTGCCATGCTGCAACCCCAGGCCATCAGAGCTGTGTGCTGGATCCAGCTGACAATGGCGACTTTCTTTTCTGTTGCTGCTGACTTGCTGATCATCCAAGTTAACTGTTCTTTTCTAAATTGATATTATTTTATTTTTCCTAAATTCTAAACCACAGAGTTTTCTTGCCTATTTCTGCCATACCTTGATTGCACTTAACTGGTGATTGTTCATTTATGAGGCATATTTAATAAGAATGTACAGGGGCTTCTTGGCACTAACAGTGCCTTTCAACAATAAACATCTATTGTAGCTTCTTGGTTTCATAAGTATTACATTTTTAATAAAAGGGATAAGATAGAGAGCCAAAAGATCTTCAATACAGCCTCTGGGGTCTCCTTTCTCTTGGGTTTCAGCTCTCACAATTCTAGGTGGGTCCTGTTCCCTCATTGCCAACCTTGTGATTGACTACTTGGAAGTAGAACCCTGGTATCTTTCCATCACACCCATAAGAATCTGACCATCTGAGGCTTCCAAACCTAGAAAAACATTTTAATTCCATTTTAACAATTTGTTCTCTTATTTTTGTCTGCGGAGCCTTATTTTCCAAAAGCCAACCTGTATCCAAACTCTCATAATGACTATAGCTGATTTAAATGACCATATTTAATTCAAATGTTTATTAATCTAAATAAACTTATTAACTTAGTCTAATATATTAATTTAAAATGTTTATTGATTAAAGTAAATAAAATAATCTATTTTAAAAATCTTTACTAGTAATAGAATAATTCTCTATAATGGCACATACACACAGATTGTATTTAGGCAAAACAAGCCAGAGAATAGAGTTTGAAAGATTGAGCCATTCACTAGAAAACACCTAGTGAATTCTTGCTTAGATAGAAACTACTGCTCTATTGTAAATCAGTTCAAAATGAGAGAAAATTCTGATAAATCCTAGGAAAGAAGGTGAGAAGTTTCTTCTAGGTCTATTATAGAGGCACTACATCTTGTCCTGAGCTGTTAATGTTATCATATGAGAGAGGAAAACATACCTGTGACACCACACCCCACCAAGCACATGGTCATACCCTCTGGAATACTTATAATTGTACCCTCCCCTGACCCAGCTATGGCTCTGCTTTTCTGATAGCATCCCATGCTAAGACCCTTTCATAGTAGTTTTGAATCAGAACTTTTTATCTTATCAGCCTTTCTGTTATGGAAGTAAATTTCTGCTAGGATATTATAAAAACTATGCATGACTTCGAATATTTCCTGCCAGGGCTGTTTGCATTCCTGTACTATCACAATGCCTTGAACAAAATAAATGACTTTCAATTGGCAAATAGGTGGCCCTGTGTAGGCAAATGGAAGAAACTGGGGTGGGGAGGGCAGCTGAGGAGAATGAAATTCCCTGGCCCCCTGGTTACAACACCCATCTAGGATTAATGCCTCCAAGTTTTCCTTCCCTTTAACATTTGCTGCTTGTATCTTTACAAATTACATTAGTAAAATAATAACTTTTTACTAACAATTCATGGACTGCCCCTACCCTGATAAAAGCAGACCATACTCCTAATACATTCTATAATTTTCAAATATAAAACATTTGTTAAGCTTGGATTTATTTGTCTCATAGACTTCAAGTTGGTGGTTGTTGTTGTTTAATAGGCTATTCAATATTTGCTTAATTTACCAAATCTGCCCAGGTAGGGATTTCTCTGGTTCAGAAGACTTATGATTTACCCTCCTTTTCTCCCTATAATCCTTGAGTTAAATGAAAAACTGATTTATATGTGTGTGTCTACAATTTCCAACTTGAAAACAATTCTGAGAAAAATTTCATTTTTCCCCATCTGCATTTCTGAGTTCAGTTGAATTGAAATGACAGAAATATACATATTGTACATAACATATATGTGGTCTTAAACCTTATAGTGTCTATTTCTAATTCTAGGGTGCAATTAAAAGGAACTTATCCAGTAAGTATATCCTAGCTACCAGAAATAGAGTAAAATTTAAAAGAAGAAACAGTTCCTTGGATCTTCGAGAATTATATATATATAATATATATAAGTATATATAAGTATATATATTATATATATACTTATATAGTATATATAAGTATATATATATATTATATATATACATTTGCATTATACATTCTTGGGCTTGATTTTTAAGACTCATGAATGTTTTATAGCAAAGAAATCTTATAATGACAAAGGGGCCTCGTGGGTTCTGAATGAGTAATATTCAAATTATGAAAATGAATATGTTTTTGGAAAAACATTGCTATTTTCTTCTTACATTTGTGAACTCTTGCTGTATCATTTGACTTTAGAAATGAATCTAATGAAGTGTCTGTTGATGGGGGTCGGGAGAAGAGAAAGGCGGAAAGAACTGAAGGGAGATACAACTAACCCATTCATAATGTTATCTGATATAAAAATTTTAGTCAACCACAGTGATATGATACAGGTTATAATTTATGTAGGGCACAATTTTCCTCTGCTACATATAGCAAATTCTAAATTCATGGATGCTAGTTAAAGATATAACATTTTCTTGGCATTTCAAGAAAAGAACAGGCAAAGAATGCTGGATTCCTGTACTATGTACATATGGCCTGGCTTAGTATTCTCTTATGGTAATTGGAAAGTAGAACTGCTCAAGGCGGCAGACATTCGAAGAATGGTAGACTACTCCACTAAACTGCAATATACAACTCTTCTGTTTGACAGCTTATCATGGTAATTCCTTGGTTAATTAGGTTTTACAAATGCCAGATAAGATGCTACTACATATGTCTGATATGTGGCTGTTGCATTGCCGAGGTAGAGGGTTTGTTTTACAAGATTTTCATATTGAGTTGCTTATGGATGGGACTTAAATCTCTAAGTGTTTCCAAACATAGCTCATAAGACATATAAGAAAGGAATAGTAAAAGTATGTCTAAAAGGCTTCTTTGTCCTGTACATCAGGTGAGGAAGTGGTGAGACCCAGGCGTTCCACACCAACTCCAGAACTTATAAGGTGAGCATGGAAGACATTAGTTGAGTTTTACAGAAGGCATCACATACTGTTAACAATTCAGCAAATCCTCTTTAGACTGAACTTCAACTTCTATTAATAAAGGTCCTGTTTGCATGTAAGTCCATAGCATGGTTCAAGCATGCTATCATTTCTCAGAAGCGTAGCCTGAGAGAGATCCTTAGGGGGAAGTACTCTATGGTCATCTAAAGTAACTGTCTATCAGAATATGCAGGCCCCACACTAATGGAAGGGTTAAAGACTGTATGAAGATGTCTTTTGGTGTTTGGAAGATGTCTCTTGGTGTTGGATCTGATATATAATTATATTGTCCTATGAAGAATAACCAGTTCAGTTGGATTCAGTTTCGTGATACATTCCACATGTCATACACCAAAAAAGAATTTACTATTTTTTTGTTCACTTTGGCAAAACATCGTATTTTGCACTGTGTATTCTTTGGGTTAAGTACTGTACAAATGGACATTGTTTTCCAAAAGGACTACTATTTCTATTTAAAAGCTGGATCCTGGGATCCCTGGGCGGCGCAGCGGTTTGGCGCCTGCCTTTGGCCCAGGGCGCGATCCTGGAGACCCAGGATCGAATCCCACGTCGGGCTCCCGGTGCATGGAGCCTGCTTCTCCCTCTGCCTATGTCTCTGCCTCTCTCTCTCTCTCTCTCTCTCTCTCTCTCTCTCTCTCTCTCTTTCTGTGACTATCATAAATAAATAAAAAAAAATTAAAAAAAAAAAAAAGCTGGATCCTTTTCATTTTCCTTCCGTCTCCAGCTCCCCTCCCTCTTTACCCCTTACTCCCACCACACACATATAGACACAGAACTCATCAGTATCAATGAAGGGAAGAAATGAAGATTATGCAGCCTATTGTTAATAGCCTTTAAGTAATAATTAGGAGAAAGGGTATGATTTTAACTTATTCCATCCTTTCCCCTTGATTTCTTCATTTTCTTTTTCTGAGATGTGCTGTATTTAAGGTGTTCAGAGGTTATAACTAGTCTATTGTGTGTATTGATTGGAGAGACAAAATGGAAATGAGAAACTAGTAGACCTAGTTTCTTACTCAAACACAAACTTCCTGGGTGGCTTGTCACTTAACTTCTCTCTACCTGACTCTTACTAATCACCATATTAACTACAATATAGAGAGATGATGAAGAGAAATATAAATGGTTTTTGAGAACTAAAGAGATGAAGGTGCTTTGCAATAAACTGTTATCTCTAGTATCATCTCTTCTAGGTATAAAGAATCATGATGATTTGAAAGAGTTCCTCTTTTCCAACTTATTTCTATTGAACCATCAACTTGGTCTCCCAGTGAAAACCAGGGATCTTATCTCCTACTGATTCTCTTGTCCATAATACATTGACATTCATACATATACTTTCCAGTCCCATGGGAGTTTGTGTACATGTACACGTATGTACACAATTACACATATATATGCCTTACCATGAAAAATATTTGAAAGCTTGTATATCTTTTTAGCATTAATATTACTTTTCTTTTATGTTTTGTTTTAATCTGTGTGATTTAGCAAAAAGCCTACAGATGACACTATGGCCCTGGCTCCCCTCTTTGGCCCACCATTAGAATCAGCTTTTGATGAACAGAAGACAGAAGGTAGGAGAAACATGTATCTCTATAGATCTTTTTTCTTTTCATTAAAGTATAACTTACCTAGAATAAAGGTATATGTTTTTAGCCATGCACCATCAGATCCTCATGTGAAAGCAAAGTTCCAATCTAGGTATGCTGTTGGAACAAGAATTTCATTTGCAAACCTCTAGTATTTTAGGATTTGAAACTTTACTTCTGGAAACATCAAATAACTAACAAGTTCATTCTTCAAAAGTGGTGTGTAAAAATTACTGTAAATGTATACAAATTACAGGGAATAAGTCAGGGAATAGTGCTCTGTGAGCCAAGAAAGTCATCACTATAGAGCTAGAACTTCAGACTTCCTGGCATAGTCACTGTCCCTGTGATCTAGCCTCTCTGACTACATTTACTCTCTTCTCCACCTCTTCAGTGGAGATCTCAGTGGGTTGCTCACAACAGACTTGTTTGTGGGCTCAAGACCCAAGAATGACCTTGAATCATTGACCAACTTAAAAATAAAATGTTGTGGGAAAAATATCAATGCAGCCATTATTATTGAGTTTACCTATTAAATATTTATTCCTAGAATTAAATATTTAAGTTTTTAAAATTAACCATTTTTTATGGCTATAAATAGTATATACCTTGCTAACATAAATAAAACTCTATAAAAGGCATCCAAACTCTTCTTGAAATGTATTTAGGTCTAGTGCATGTATCTCTGGTAGATGTGTTGGGTAATATGGAATGTTTTTATTTTTAAAAAGTCATTTGATCTAAAAACACTATGGTAGGGACACTTGGGTGGCTCAGCGGTTGAGCATCTGCCTTTGGCTCAGGGTGTGATCCTGGAGTTCCGGGGTCGAGTCCCACATTGGGCTTCCTGCATGGAGCCTGCTTCTCCCTCTGCCTATGTCTCTGTCTCTCCCTCTTTCTCTGTGTCTTTCATGAGTAAATAAATAAAATCTTTATAAATAAATAAACACACACTATGGTATATGTATAATATTATGTTATTTTTTATACTGTTGAGCAAAGAAATCAAATTGAACTATTAAGGACAATAGAACTTGAAAACATAATTAGTAGACTAAGTTATAGTAACAAAGACACTCTAAAGTATAGGGACTTAAACAATACAGAATTTTATCTTTGTCTTGTGTTTACAATCTCAAAGTAAATAATATAGGACTGGTAGGGTGGTTCTGCTATTCTCAACATGTGGCCTTTGTCTCTTGGTCCAAAGGAGCTGGTTCCAGCTCTCATCACTTCCCAATCAGAATAATGTGGGGAGGGGGTGGGAGCAAAGGGAGGACCAGTGCCAATTCCCGTGAGAGCAAAATCTGGAAGACACATACATCACCTTAACCAGAGCCAATCAGAGAGAATTTAGTGCCATATGGCCAGCTAGAACTTTTTAATTGTAAAAGAAATGGAAAATGGATACTGGAGGAGAGCTAGGAGTCAACCACATCAAAATATTTTTCAATGATTTGGTTAGGAAATATATAAGGAACACCCCTAAATTCTCCTTCAGAGATTTAAATGTCTACAACTTAGAATCCAAGTAGAGGTGGCCTTGTAATGAGGCTACCAGTTGTCTTGTTAACTATGATCAATTTTGCTTTTAAATTTTTAAAAGATTTTATGTATTTATTTGAGAGAGAGACAGAGTGAGAGAGAGCATGAACAGGGAGAGGAGCCGTGGGAGGGGAAGAAGCAAACTCCCCGCTGAGCATGGAGCCTGACATGAAGGTCAATCCCAGGACTCTGGGATCATTACCTGAGCTGAAAGCAGACACTTATTTGACTGAGCCACCCAGATGCCCCTCAATTTTGCTTTTAATGACATTATTGTGTAGTGACTAATGGTGGAATTTTATTTGTTACTTCTCAATCTACCTATTAAAAGAGTCCCATAACTGTATAGAAACCTGATTTACAAAATAGAAAATAGTTCTTAAAAAATCAAGGGGGTGTCCCACATCAAATCCATGAAAAAAAAACAAACAAAAAACAAAACAAAACCAAAAAATGCTGCTTCACAGCTTTGGAGAATGTTTGCTTTCATGTTAAAACAAAACAGAACTAAAACCATCTTTGGGTTTATGATGGAGAGGAAATACACACCTGAACTTGCCCATGAGCCTAGTTTGCTTTCTCTTGAGATGGTTTCATCCCCCAAGATTCTATACAATTTCAACATTTGCACCAAACACGCTAGGTCTTACAGTATCCGCACTTACCTTTCAGATCTATTCACTCTCACTTCTTTTCACTGATTCTTCCATCACTAAATTAAAATGCCTAGAGGGAAAATATGTATTTTGGAGTCAGGTATGCATGCCTGGGATCGAATCTTAGCTTCTCTACTTCATCAGGTAGCTCTTAGGCATGTTATTTAATCACTTTAATCTTTGCTTCCTCTACTTAAAATTGTACTAATATCAACCACCAGGTGATGTTGTGAGGACTATAATATCTAATAATAGCTACTGGCCTTGTGGTAAGTGTGTTATATGCAGTTTGTAAACATTGTATTTATATGTATTATCTCCCATGATCCTTTTAATAATTCCCAGATTGCTCTTATTACCTCTACTCTGAAGGAAAGGAACCTCAGAGGTGAAATGACTGGCCCAAGGTCCTATAGTCTAAGTTTAGAGGCTGGATTGATTTATTTATTTACATTAAAGATTTATTTATTTATTCATGAGAGACACGGAGAGAGAGAGGCAGAGACACAGGCAGAGGGAGAAGCAGGCTCCTCGCAGGGAGTCCCAGATCCTGGGATCTGGTCCTGAGCCGAAGGCAGATGCTCAACCACTGAGCCACCCAGGCGTCCCTAGAGGCTGGATTTAAATTCATATCCCATTAACTTCCCAGATTGTGTTTTACAACATAATGAATTAAAAGCAGTACTTGCATAGACTCTGGTACATGATATGTGCAGAAAAGACCTAATTGTTTACATTATTATCATAGCAATAAAAAAATCAAAACACAGAGACGGAAGAAATAGAAACAATGTTAGATTCAGTGTCATTAGACCTAATACTTAATTTCTCTGATTTCCTTTAAGTGTCGAAGCCCTTATTTATTTTTCTCGTTCTCTTAAGATATTTACCAAATATTTTTAGAATAATTTCATTTCTCTTTATGATACTGTAAAAAGTTTACTTAAAGACCCTATATGATCCTTTAAAGATACAAGTCACTCTATAAAACCCAGGCATTTTCATTTTTGAAGCATATTCATACCAAACTTTAAATAAGCCAACTTGAAATGACTGTCCATGGGATTAATGCCTAGATCTTCAAATGGGTGCCAGAAATAGAACTAGTACATATACTGACATTCAGAATGTCCTTAAATGACCAACCAGGAAGAAAATACAGATGCTGTATTTCAAAAGTTTTTATTTAGCTATGTGTGCACACACACAGACACCCCTACCATCACCACACACACACACACACACACACACATACACACACACACACACCACTGTCATTTGCATTCTTTGCTTGAAAAGAATGAGGAGCAGCACACTTCTAAATTACTTTGCTAGAACTGAGGCAAGAGAGAGATAATTATGTGAAGCTCAATTTTGAATTGAAATTTTGAGTGCTGAAATCCAGGAGTATTTCTTTTTTGAACTCACTTTGGGAAATTTTCTTTTTATGGTTCCAGTTCTTTTAGATCAGCCTGAGATATGGGGTTCAGGCCAACCAATTAATCCAAGCATCGAGTCGCCAAAGTTAACAAGGCCTTTTCCCACTGGAAGTAAGTTATGTGTTTGTTCTGTCTGGAAAAATAAGTGACTCATTTTACTGTCTGTCTGCATAGTGAAATTAAGCAACTTGTAGAAAGTACGTAAGCAACATTTTGACTGTATAATATTAGAAGAGGTTACTCTAGTAGGGCTTTAGAGTTTTAGGGGCCTAGGGCAGTTTGTCAAAGCAAAAGTAATACAATAAAGTTATTAACTTTGAATCATAGCCTCTTCTGACATCCTATATGCCTGTTCCTTCATTAATTGAATATGCATATATAAGAGGAAGAAGCAAATAAGCTAAAGAAACCTACCCTGGTCCAGATATTGGGCTACCACTCAACACAGAAGTGGAGTCAGATAGTCTCTGCTAGTCCTACAAGACAAGGATGATGCAAGGTACAGAAAGGACACATTGAGATGAAAGAGGGATAATTGGAAAGCAAGAGAAATGATGCTATTTGGTAGGAAGCTGAGACAGGAGGCCTGGGCAAACTTGTCTCAAACCAGGGGCCGTGAGAACTACTATTCCAGCACTCACCCCCCTTCCTCCTAAAGATGCTGAGAGTCAGGTAATAGTGGGTTGGACTATTTGGCCTGAGTGGATTGCTTATTTGGTCAAGCCACCTCCTTGATGGATTTCTTGAGTTCTCATTTCAGTAGACTTCTCATAGCATCCACACTTGTGGAAAGCACTCCTTAAAATGCCTTTGGAAGGAAGACTGAGTCTCAGGGAGAGGCATTTGGGGCAGTAGTGAGATGCAATGGGTATCTTCACTTTGTGAGGCTTACATACACACTAATCAATACCTTTCCAGTTCAGTATTCCCGTGGTTCTGCTTTATGGGGCCTAAAAATAACCATCGGAATTAACCAGAGGGATACCTAATCAAAGGCCCAAGAGGTTGTTTCCAAGAGATATTGCTATAAAACCATGCAATCCAGTCTTTTCAAAGATATTTCCTTCATAAAACAGGAGAGGAAAAACAGCATCACCAATAACTATTTTAACATCTAAACTTTTAGAGATGTGCTTTGAGAAAATTTGAACCCCAGTGATGTGATTTTGAATGTGTCTCTGTGCTACTGGGAAACAAAGCCAGTGCAAAAGCTCTAACTTCCTTGAAAAGCTTTCTTTAGAAACCTGAGCCATCCAGATTCTTCCTAGAAAACCTTTCCTAGATGCCAAGAAACTACATAAATGAAATGTTTATGTAGGTGATGTATTGATTTTAAGGCCAATTATTGGCATTTTAGAGTTTTCTGAGTTTCATGTGCAGCAACTGCACTTAGCATGGCAGAGGCTGTTGTATAATTGGTGTGTATGGTATAATTTTGCTCATTTTGTGATTGCAGCATAAATCAGCTATTTTAAATTATTATGCTCTTACTGTATTTTATGTTTTTGTTGATTATGACCTCAATTTTTGCAGTGAACCTTCATCAGAAACAGAGCCCCTGATTGACTTTTAACTTCTATGGAAAAACATGATCCAATTGAGGTGTAGTTTTCAGAAGCTCATAACGAAGACTAGGAAGCACTGGGCTTTAGGATGATAACTATTAGTCATGCCTGTTGTGTAGAAAGACAGGATGCTCTCTAAAATTAAATGAAGTCAGGTGGAGTTGGAGTGACAGAAAGGTACTCTTTCTAGTGCTGCCAAGCACTCTCCAACCAGCTGACCCACTCTGCTTTTAGGTCCTGAAAGATTGAACAACATTTGAGATTCACAAATGAACTGGAATCTGGTTTATGAAATTAGTGTGAACTTCTTGTATCTACCAAATGGAGCCAGTGACAGGAAAACATACATGTAAGGAAAAAAGAAGAAAAAAGTTGTACCTGTTGAAACAGTGATCCTTAACCTTGCCTGCAAAATGACAAGTCTAGTTCCCCGGGGCTGAATCTCTGGGTTCAGGCCATAATATAATACTTTTTCTATCTCAGGGGTTTTGCTTTGCTGTAATTTTTACCAGGGGAATCGGGGTATTTTTCCTTGCCCCCAATTATATTGCTTCAGACTTTAAAAAAATACTAAAAGTTAAAATGTATAACTTTGAGACATCTTTCCAGATTCACTCTAGGCCATACAATCCTGACTATATTAAAAACCCTTCACTTGAGTCTACCCCAAGATATTTTCATTTCCTTCACCACGCCCTAGATTATAATCATCTGTTAATGTGATATTCATTCATTCAACCATAACTTCCTGAGGACAGAAGATTCTTTTATTCAACCCCAAGTCCCTAGTTCCTAGTATGCTGTAGAACTTTGCTAGTGCTTGAAGTTTGTCAAATAAAGGGATGAATGAATAAAAAGATGACATTATAATTATCACCTGACATTCTTTTTTTTAAGATTTATTTATTTATTCATGAGAGACACAGAGAGACAGAGAGACAGAGAGGCAGAGACATAGGCAGAGGGAGAAGCAGGCTCCTCGAAGGGAGCCCAATACAGAACTCGATCCCAGATCCCGGGGTCACGACCTGAGCCTAAGGTGGCGCCCAACTGCTGAGCCACCCAGGCGTCCCACATCATCTGACATTCTTTTGACAAATTCTTATTATCATAAAGTGGAAGAATCTGAATGGGTCCTGCTTCACTTTCTTAGCTCCGAACTTAAAAAAATTTAGACTATTAATGGTTATGACATTACCAATAGCAGCAATATGGATGAAAGCCCAAATCCTGCTTATCTACAAAATATTGTGTCAGTTAAGGAGAAAGCAATCAATAATGCTTGGTTTCTCATGTCTTTTCAGCACCTCCACCACTGCCTCCCAAAAATGTACCAGCCACCCCACCCCGAACAGGCTCCCCACTAACAGTTGCACCAGGTAAGCTTCGGTTTTTTCTGTGCTGGGATGATACAGCAATCAGCAATGGCCCTGGACCCCAACACGCCCCGATGTGTCTGAAGCTGTAGAGACTTAGCATGAAAATGTTTGTGTTTGGTTTTCCTTCCATTACAACTTACTCTGCAGATTTATTTTAGAGTACCACTCTCAGGTTTCGAAAATATTCTTTCTCAAGTAATTTTTCCTGTGTACCATCTTATTGAATGAGGGCCACATTTACTAGGAAATGAAAGAAAAAAAATGTCGACATCGAAAGTCCCTGTTTAATTGGCATTTTACTTCTTTGGAACTCATTTTAATGATTTACAAATTAAAAATTTCAAGGCACAATTCATATTTTCCCAAGAACCGATCATTATTTTTTCTAGAATTAAAACTGCCTAGTCTACAAAGACATAGAACGGTTCCCAGGATGTGCAGCCTGTGGGTAAGCTTGGGAGATGGGGAATTTTTTTCCCAGGAATCCTTATTATCCAGTGGCAAAGAGATGTGTGAGGATCATGGCATATGTCAAGGAACTGCCACATGCCTTTAGACAGATAATTTCTAAGGCACATCTTTACCTTCTATTAAAATCAATACTACATATTCATGCAATTTATAATCTACCCTGTTCTATTGGGCTAGCAAGTCAAAAGCAGTAATTGCTATGTTATGTGTCTGGGCCGTTAGAATATGGCTCTTTATCACCTTTGGAATTCTATTGCTGCTTTGTCCTTTGCTATTTATGTAGCCTGGTGAGTTTGATAGCTGCAGAGTAGGTATTTATCAACAAGACCAAGTGCAAGCCATAGTCATTTTTGAAATTTATATTGATTAAAACCCAACGAAGAGTCATCCAGAGCGTCAAAGGTAAAGGTATCTGCAAGTTCAAATCATTTTGGATCCTTGTATTCTCATAAATATGTTAGATAGAAATAAATCTACTAGTGACAGAATTATAAATATTGTGGGACATGCAATCTGCTACCCTGTTTATCTGTGGCCTTGGAGTCTTGAAGGTTAATTCTTTTCTAATGTGAAATATGGAAGTGCTGAGCCAGTTCTTAGAGTCGATGGGTTATTTAAAGGTAAAGTTGCTTCTGCTCATGCCTTGCAATTATTCAGGGACAGTTTCGAATTTCAATAACTGTAGTGTTTAAATAAAAAGTGCACTTCCTCACATTGCACTTGTTATCAAGCATTTCCTGCCAAGCTGTAGAAGATAGTTTTAATTTTCTCTCGTATTACTGATAAGTTAAATTAAAAAGAAGAGCTGCTGCTAATGATTAAGCAAAATAGAGACTTTTGTGTTTCATGACTCCAGATCGATGTATATCACAGTTCCATCTACGATGTTAACAGGTTAGACTTGATGAGAAAAGAAATTACAAAGATATTTTGAGTTTTCCTCCCTCTTAAGCAAGTATATTCATAACAGTTCTAATAAGTAGTAAATGTCTTCTCAGTAACCTGTGTGTGTTGTATGTGGGGTGTATATGTGTGTGTTTGTGAATATATGTGGGGGATATTCCTCTAAATAATCTCTGTACTGTGTTTCTGGTGTATTTAAGGTGGAGGATGTACAGCTTGTTAAGATACAATAACTTTTTTAAACTAACAGATAATTATTAGTTTCACCAAACATTTTAATGTGCTAGAACAGACAGTCTTTATCAAATATGAGGGTGATTTTCAGCTATCAATTATCTTTCTACTGTGTTGTCTGTAATTTGGTAGGCCAGACTTTCAGAAGGGACCTCCCTTTTGGAAGTGCAGTTCCAGAGCCTGTATTCTGTGAACCTTTTCAAAGTGCAGCGTTTTCAGAGTGATCACCCTCTGCACTCTTGTGAGCAGCCTTTGAGAGTAGTAGCACGCTCAGCGCTTTCAATGGTGGTAAAAACAGCTACCTGGGGTCACTCAATAGAAAGGGTAAAATAACAACATAAAAAGGTGGTGCTCACATTCTGGAGGTAGGAAACTGTCTCTCCTCCCCTTCAGTTCTGATCCAGTTATTTTTACACCTCAAAGGCAAGAGGCAATCTGTTTACTATTCTTTGCCTCACCCCCTCCCACTCCCGCCCCATGAAAATAATATTCACAAAGTCAATTAAAGTTAAAAATCAACTACTTTAACCACAGGAAGTGACCAGTCAGCCACAGAGGTCAAAATTGAAAAGCTACCATCCATCAATGACTTGGACAGCATTTTTGGTCCAGTGTCATCCCCCAAGTCTGTTGCTGCTAATGCTGAAGAAAAGTGGGTCCATTTTTCTGATACATCCCCGGAACATGTTACGCCAGAGTTGACTCCAAGGGAAAAGGTGGTGTCCCCACCAGCTGCATCAGACAACCCATCTGACTCCCCACCTCCGGGCCCCCCAGGGCCCCCAGGACCCCCTGGCCCTCAGCGCAATGTACCATCGCCGCTCAATTTAGAAGAAGTCCAGAAGAAAATCGCTGAGCAGACCTTCATTAAAGATGATTACTTAGAAACAATCTCATCTCCCAAAGATTTTGGGTTGGGACAGAGAGCAACCCCACCTCCCCCACCACCACCCACCTACAGGACTGTGGTTTCATCCCCTGGACCTGGCTCGGGCAGTGGTACCGGGACCACCAGTGGTACGTCTTACTGTTTGAGTGTGCTTCGTGTGACCGGGAATGGCCGTGGCTGCTGCAGTGTGAACAACACCCTCCTCCTGCCTGGCAGTTGGCTTTAGAGCTTCCGCCGTTCCTCCTTTGGTCTGGGTGTTCTGTGGCCCCATGGCATGTCCTAGTGCATCGAATGCTAACTGTCATAGTGCAAGTCTGTGGATGTGTTCTTCCCCGCACTCCTAGCACTCCTAGCTCTCCTTGGGAGTGCTCTGCCTTCCACCCTGCAGTTAGGAAGTGCATAGTTTTTTAAAGGAAGCTGCTTTGTCACTGTTTGGAATTCAGGAAAGTTCTAGAAAGACAGATTTCCTAGCCAGTGAATTTCATGTTCAGTGTCTAATTTCCCTGTCAGCACATGAAGTCAACTCTAAGTATGGTGACAGGAGATGGAAAAGTCAATCAGAAATGGAATTTGAGACTCTCTATGCAAATGTTGATATTGAATCTGATGTTTTGGTTTTCCTTCCTTGGAGCTTCATTTTGTGTTCCCATCCTATAAAAGGATGGCAATATCTGCCACACAAACCTAAGAAAGATAAAAAAAATTTTAAGGTATCTTCTTCAATATTTTTTTATTCTACTGGTGCTCAGACTTACCTGGCAAGACCCTACAGTGCCTTCCCTCTTATGCCCGTGGGTTCGGTTTAGGCACCTTCTGAGTGCCATGTGTTGTTTTTTTGTTTGTTTGTTTGTTTGTTTCTTTGGAAGAAGCAACCAAGTTTATGATAATTTAGATCTAGTAAGAGATAGGAAGGAAAGGCATTTGTCTCTTTTGTAACAGTCATTTATCACTGTTGCCTCTTTCAGTAGGCAAACAGTGCACAGAGTGCATGTGTTTGAAAATTCCTGTGCTTCAAGCATCCAATCTGATCAAGGAGAGGGCTGGAGATTCACCTTTATATCACTACACGTGTACCATGTGCCTTCTTCTACCAAAAAAGAAGAGCTACTCAATTATCAAATTTGGGGAACATTGTGTTAAAATCGGCAGGTTTCTTTACCATAGGACCTCTGAGAACCTTTGTCAATAATATGGCTACAGTTTCTTCTCCTGGGTATCATCTTAATGCTTTGTGCACATCATTTCATCCTTACAACAACCCCATGTGATAAATGCTCTCTTATTGCTCCTATTTTACAGCTGTGTAAACTTGGGGAAACAGAGGCTCAGAGATGCCAAGTAACTTTCCAAAGTTTACACAGCTACAGATGATAGACTTGGGATACTCAGTCATACTCAGGTCTAATTTTCAGGCTGTGTTCTTCACCCCTCTCTAGGCACTCTTTTAAGGTTTAGTTACAAAATAGCCCAAACTTTTTGACCACTGACACCCACCTATACTGCTCAACAAGATCAACAGTTTTCTCTCAAAATCCACTTCTCTGTGCTTCTCTCCCTAAGTCTAGAGGATTAGAGCACCCACCTTCATCCTCGGTTGCTTTTTTAGATCATTTTGGGAATATAAGCCTCTTTACTTATCTTTCAAAGTAATAAAAGGACCGTAGGTGAAGCCTTTGGTTCAGACTTCAAACCCAAAGAAGCTGGCTGTCTATTGTCAAAATGGGGAATATCTCCAGGGTATTCTTTCTTTCCAGGTTCTTCTGAAAGACATAGAGGAATAACCCCCTTGTTCCAGTGGCAGGCCACTGTACTTTCCTCAAAATGAACATGTTTAGTTGGGGAGAAGGAGGACAGGGCAGATTTGTTGCTCATCTGTTTCTTCCATCACCTACCACAAGACTCTGGAAGAAGTTTAATTAAATTGACCATAGATCTAATGAGTGAAGAATAGGGTCTTTGCCTTCTTTCTGAAATCTTTGAGAATTTTGTTGTCATCTTTGTTTAGCATAAACGTTTGAAATTATTTTTAGGTGTTACCAGTAAAGGCTATTGATTCTTAATAACTGATTTGGAAAAAACCCTCTACTTTGCTGGTAAAAGATTGAATTTCTAAGCGGAAGATTGAACTGGGTCAATGAAGCTCATGAATAAATAAAACTGCACAATTATGTCCTTAATTAAGCCCCAGTTTATTTTCCATTTAATGTTTTATTGATATAATATACACAGACTAGCAGAAATGTAAATTTACGATTAAAACAATGAGAGATGGCCTCATGTTTTAAAGATTAGCAATGCTTCTCAAGACCTCCTTTTTATAAAACTTAGCCTGATGAGACTAACTTTTCCTATACATCTCAAACTGTATTTAACTGGATACCATTACTCACTTTTAAAATTTCATTCACTTGGTCACTGACCAAATTTAGACAGTATGCACAGCCTTGTGAATTAGTTGAGTTACCTGATGTTGAAAAACAGTTGGAAGTTAAGAATTTGCTCCAAGTATTTTGATTTCCTTATGGAAAAGTTATAAATACCTAGTTTGGCCAAAACTTCGCTTTATTGGAATGCAGACAATGATTCTCTTTGCAAAGGCCATTTCTTCTTCCTTGTGGGTGGTGTGCCAGAGAATGGGAGGGGAAAAGAGTTTTATTGTCCTATAGAGACCAGAGAAAAAGAGGTTAGTAAAGATAGGATGTGCAACACTTTCCAACTTGAGAGACTAAGCCAATATAAAAGATATTATACACATACACACACATTTATAAACAAATGAAAATGAGCTAACTGGGGTTGAACTAGACACATATATTTCCTAGCTACAAGTCTTTTTAGAGTGGCAGAGTCCAAATAGGGAAGGCACTCTTCAACAAAGAGAAATGAAAGTTGAAGCAATAATTGTGTGGTTTTCAAGGGGCTACCAAAGAAACTATGCTACAATTTCAAGTTGAAGCAGCAAATGAACTGAAAGTATGTCAATGGTTGTCAACTTTTTTGAACTCACAAAACTCAAATAACATACATGTGATTTTTAAAGTTAAACCTTACTCAGCGATGTCCAGTTAATTTTTCCAGAACTGCTCATGGGAGTAAACACTGCTTGGAAAAGAAATGAAAGCATAATTCCAGATCAAAGAATGAGGATAGAGATGTACAGTCTTCTACACTCTTAGCATACGAAACAATTGTGCGATCTCACAAAAGCACGGGAAGCCTCAGTTCAGTTATAAAATAACCCTCAGGCCCTGACTACTCTCTGCTGAACCTCAGGGTTCTATCAAGATTGTTTTGCTTCCTAAACACTTCTTTTGCTTCTTAAAGACGCTCAGTGTCTTTCTGACGGCGCAACAAATCAATTAAGTCAATTCAGTTAGGAAAAAGTGAAAGAGCAAGGAAAACAGTTAACTAGCCACTTTTTTCTTTGCTTTCAGTTGTGTCTGTATGAAAAGACCGTCTTTACTATCATCGTCAACATCTATTCCCTTTTATTTGTGTGGCATTTTGTAGTTTACTAAACACTTTATAAGCATTTTCCATTTCGATTGTTACAACTACCTTGTATGGTAGAAATGTCTCATTTTTTTGAAATAGGAAGCTGAGATTCGGAGAGGTTAAGATCCCCCAGCTGATAAGCGGCAGGCCGGGCCAGGAGTCAGACCATCTGCCTTTTCATTATTTTTCATTATTTTTTTTCATTATTTCACACTGCTTTGATAACAACCCCCATATTAACTATCCCAAGCATTATTGACAGTGATTTTCAAAACTTTCCCTTTTAGAACATGTAGAACGAGGATAAGCAGCATGACCTTCTCCTGAGCTTGATTCAGAAGACTATTTCTTGGATAGATATTTTGAACCATTCCTATGGCATGGTTTTCCAGTGAAACAGAACCTAGAAAAAGCCTCATGAAACTTCCTGACAAAGACTCTGTTGTTTAAAGGGTTATTCTCCGTTTCTCAGCTGTCACTTCTGTTTCCTGGAAACATACTGGGCGTCAATCTATTAAGTCAAAAGAAAACTTTGTAGTGGGACCTGTCAAAACATATCTTATTTTTTTATTCAAGAAAAGATTTGCCAAAGACTAAAAATATTTACGTAGAGAGAGATGTGTGCAAGCTGCTGCTGCAAAACTCAGAGCAGACTTAATGCAAAATATGGGACTTCACAGTCCACCCAAAGCTACAAGACACTGCATTTAAGATCTTGGGCCTTGAAGTTAAATCAACCATCTGAGCTCTGTGATCTTGAACAAGTTACTCAATATCTCTGAGCTTTAGCTCCAATTGAGATAACTACAGTACTTTCCTACAAAATTTAGTGTGGAGATAAAATAAGATAGTATATGTAAAGTGTCTAGCATCAGTCTTGGCCCAATACAATAAAAAATAAGAATACAGTTGGAAAAGTGGTAGAGGTGTAGAGGTAATAGAGATAGGGATGGATGTGGCGGTAATTTTAGTAGTTTCACACTAATGAAATTACACTTAGAATAAACAGCACAGGGATCCCTGGGTGGCGCAGCGGTTTGGCGCCTGCCTTTGGCCCAGGGCGTGATCCTGGAGAACCAAAATCGAGTCCCACGTCGGGCTCCCGGTGCATGGAGCCTGCTTCTCCCTCTGCCTGTGTCTCTGCCTCTCTCTCTCTCTCTCTGTGACTATCATAAATAAATAAAAATTAAAAAAAAAAGAATAAACAGCACAGAGAAACACAACACAATTTTTCAGGTTGCGTTTAGATAAGAGGAGCAAGGTTTACACCCAGACTCTCTTAAGATGAGAGCTGATTCCAAGATGATGGATTTTGCTGTCCAACTTCAAAGCTCTTTGGGAATCTGAAGATCTGGAGATGGGGACCAGCATTTTGCCAATCTAGGATTCTCCAGAAAGCACGGTTTTGTGGCATGGGAAGATAGGAGTGGGCAGTTATTTTCCTGAGGCAGGATTTCTTAGAATTTTCTTGGAATGATCCGATATCTGTGCTTCTAACCAAAGTGACAAAACCTCTGGAGTAGTTGGAACTTTTCTGAACAAGCATGTTTTGGAAAAGTGATCTGAATTTCTTCAGGTTTGGAGTCAAGTAGTTGATCCATGTACCCCAGACATCTGGCTAAAGATAGGCAGACCTTTGAGTCTCGAGACCCTACTGGTGTGCTGATTAGTGTGCATGCCGGCCTCTGTGTGTCTTCTGTGTGTCCCATGTTTGTCATTGACAGCCAGAAAAGTAAATCCAAGACTCTTTTCAAAATCACCACAAAAATCATCATGAGCCAACTCTACATAGATTCCTAAGCAGCCTCCTTCAACAATTCAATGTGATTCTGTTATTAAGATGCTAAATGCAAACTATTCGTGCAACATCTAATTTACTGTCTTATATTCTGTCCTTTGCTTACTATCAAGTGCTTACTTACATTTATTAAAGTTAGCACTCATATTCTGAAGCACATTAAAAAAGATAAATTCCTTATACATGATTTTATATATATATGTATGTATAAATAAATAATGTGGAAAAGTCATTCACCTTCCTTCAAGGTCTAACTTTCATTTTCATCTTGGACATAAATTCTGAATATGCAAAACAAGATAATTTATTATAAGTTTGGTGTGTGTGTGGTCAAATGAAAGGTCCTCACTACCAGGCTAAAAGGGTCTTAAAGTGTATTTTCCATTACAGAGAATAATAAAAGGATTTACCTTTCACTGGGTGTCACATGACAACAAAAGGTAATAAGCTTCAGCTTCTGCCATCAACTATAGTTCAACTGAGTGATTTTTTTTTCTTTATTAAAAAAAAAAAACACATACACACTAGATGCTAGAGTGTTGAGTGTACTAACTGCTCGGTGAAGAAAAGTGCCTGGGACTGGCACTGTACTGTGGGAGTGGGGAAGGAGGATTCCTTGATGACAGCTCTTGACCACATGTGGTTCCAGCCATTGTTAACACCAGCTTGTTTTTCAGGTGCATCATCCCCTGCTCGACCAGCCACTCCCTTGGTTCCCTGCAGCAGCACCACCCCTCCACCACCTCCTCCCCGGCCTCCATCTCGGCCAAAGCTACCTCCGGGAAAACCTGGAGTTGGAGATGTGGTATGTTCCCTTCTGCCCTGCCTTGCTCAGAGACTCATGGTGAGAATGACAAGCCAAAATGCCATAACACGGGCCACCTCAATGGCCTCAGATCGCTGGTTCAAATGGCCCAACAGATGTCATCTTAAAGGCAATCACTGCAGTATGGGTGTACATTTCAACCCTCCCATAATCTCTACCATCTTTCAAGTCGAGGTCTAAAATAGTAGGAATAGGATGCTGGCGTTCTCCCTTCTGTTACAGTGGATTTGATGCAAATTAAGATAGTAATAGTCAATTGTGCTAAGTTCTTTAGAAAGAGAGGTATTTCCTTTCACCCTATGTATCTGGTTTGGGAAGACTCCAAGAGAAGGTAAGTCTTGGTCTCCATCCCCAGACTAAGAGATCTTACTGGCACACCATGTGGATTTATAGGAGGGTGGTAGCCTGCAAAATCTGTTCCAGAAGTTTCTTGCATCATGTTTGGGCTGAAAAGGTGGAAAACATTCTGTGTGACTAAGAGACCTCTGAGTCAGTTTCGTTGATATCAACGCACTTTGATATCAACGCACAGGAGTCACAAACTTTGTGATGTCCATACCATCTGGTTTAGCAAGCACAGTTTAGTATACTGTATTTAAATATCTTTCTTTAAAAAAATATTTTTATTTATTCATGAGAAGAGGCAAAGACGCAGGCAGAGGGAGAAACAGGCTCCATGTAGGGAGCCTGATGTGTGACTCAATCCCGAGACCCCGGGATCACGCCCTGAGCCACTGAGCCAAAGGCAGATGCTTAACCGCTTAACCTCTAAGCCACCCAGATGTCCCTATTTAAATATCTTTAAATGGGTAGAAGCTCACACCTGAGGTTATTTGCTTAGTCCCTGGGGGCAGGTAGGTTCACAGTCTTGAAACATCACAGATCTCAGTTTCTCTAAGCCTGATGTACCTGCTGAGTGTAGCATACCATGGTTTGTAATTCCTCTAGCTCCATCCACAAGCTCCTTGTATAGATATAAGCAATTTCAAGATAAAAATGGTGTCACCTATACTCTTTTAAGAACCTGAGTTGTCATATCCAGGGCTGGAAGATGTCAAAAATATGGAACAAAAATACTACAACCTGCATATCTAATTTTTTATCTCTTTTCTTCTTCCTGCAGCCCAGACCTTTTAGCCCTCCCATACACTCTTCCAGCCCTCCTCCAATAGCACCCCTTGCACGAGCTGAGAGTACTTCTTCAATATCGTCCACCAATTCCTTGAGTGCAGCCACCACTCCCACAGTTGGTAAAAATTATCTCCTCTCTTTTAATCTGTTTGTTGTTTTGACTGGCTATTTTTTATGATCTGAATACCTCAAGGCCCTGTATTTCTGGTTGAAATTGTTTTGCTTTCTGTTCTGCTACTATCAGCTGACTCTTCTTTTTTAAAAGCACCTTCTCAGCAAAGGAGGCAAAATGCTTTGACTAAGCAAATAAACAAAAGAACATTAACACCTGTATTTTGCAGGAATTCTCTTATGCTATTCCATACAGAGCTACTTATAAAAGTAAAGAAGAAATCAAAAAGGTCCTGTTATTTACATATTATTTATTATAATAAAACTAGTCTCCTTTGAAGAAGAATGTTTAAGTTCCAATCGTGTACCACATCAGAAATCACAAAATTTAAATCTTTTGTTTTCTTCAAGCTTTCATTTCTTCATTCCTTTTGGTTCTTCTTATGTTGACAGATGGTATAAGTGTTGGTGTAAGTGGGACTTGGGCAAACTTTTTCACATTCTTTTCTAGTGCTTTGCAATGATGTGTGGTCAATTTTCCCTGAGAAATAAGTCATTGCTGGCATTTTCAGCAAATGCCTTTGTGCCTCTTACCATATGGTATGATGAAAGTCAAGAGTTGAGAATGGCTGCTCAGGTTTTCCCAGGTTTAAATGCCTCATTTTGCCTGGAGCATTTTTCCTCTTCCCAAGGCTGATCTCTCTATATACCTCTTTACCCATCTTCCACAAGCTGCTGCCTCTCTCATGTTTGCATGGTATCTCTGACCTGGGGCTCTGCCCTGACATTTTTTTCCCATTGTCTTCCTTCATTGTCTGAACTCTCTTCCAAGTCTCCCATATTGTAAACAGCTGGCCCATCCTGCATTGCTTGGGAGAATCATTAACCCAAAGCTAAATAAATCCCTGCTATTATTTACCAAAGAAGAGCATGCTACAGAGTTGCCCATGGGAGAAATAGTTTGATCAAAGCCTGAAGCTCTTCTGGAAAACTCCTTATTTTCCCAGGGATATAAATGAAGGCGTGCCTCATAGGGGCCCTAAAGAGAATTTCAACTATATCATGTGTTCTATAGTTTTAATCAGACAAACCCAAAACAATCCTTCCTTCAAATTGGGTGAAAATATAGCCAGCTATCCAATTTTGTAGGATTCTTTAACAGACAGGTATTTGACATTACTTATATAGATAAGACTATTCTTTCTCTGCATCATCCATGGAGATAATTTGGGGCTTCCTGTTTTAAGATGCCTATGAGGTCAGTTCAGTCTGGGTTTTTTTTGTTCATTTTTTTCTGTAATGTCCCAACATTTTTTTTTTTTTGGGGACACTTTAATACTTCTGATTGCGACTGCCATTTCTCTCACTCTTGCTTTGTTTTTTTGTTTGTTTGTTTGTTTTTGTTTTTGTTTTTTGGGGGGGAGGGTTGTTTTGTTTTATTTTTTTCTCAAGATTATTTGTTCCACCCACTCTGTGATTTTCCTGGTTGGTCAAAGAGGAAAGTAAGAAGCATAAACTCTCACAAAGCAGACCTCGACTGACCTCAGATGACCGACTAACATATTCTTTAAACTCATTGAGATTCGTAGAGAAAATGACACACACAGAGAATTTGAACTGTGTCCATGTTTTATACAATGGGTTTTTATACTCCCTGCCTCAGAAATCTCAAATCCTGGCCAGTGATTTTGATTCTTAGCACAACCAGTATGCATTCTTTCAAAATGAATGACAGAGGGGTTGAAAAACAATAAAGCCACCTGAGAAGATACTCACACTGCTTCATTGCTGAGGAGCATTCCGACTTAATTTGTTTGGTTCTGGGTTTTTGTTTTGTTTTAGTTTTCCTCTTCCTCATGCTCTTGTCCTTTACTTCCTGCGTCTGTGAGTCACCCAACAGCCACTTCTCTCCGAAGTAACTGCCTTGTCAAATGGCTGCCCAGCAGCTCCTGTGTATTGCTGTTTATCTCTTCCTGGAGAAGATGTGCTTTAGCAGTTCAGCACCAAGGGGTCGACTATTCATGACTGACGTGGAATGTCAACTTTATGTAGTCAAATGGCTTGCAGAGGATGGAGAATTTTAGCAGGAAACTTTCCTCCTACCACACAAAATTTTTTCGACATTTCCTATGACATCTGAGCCAAAACTGAGGCAAATGTGGTGGAAACTTCGTGCATATTTATTTGCACTTGCTTATTGCAAAGTTTACTGTAATTCAAGGACAAAATTTTTAAGTAAGAATATGCCCCCTGAAGACTTGGGACGTAAAATCTTCCATGAAAGCTCTGATATAAAGTAATAAATCTGAAGCCACACCTAAAAATAGGACTTTCTCTGCATTGCCACACTCAAATAATGAAGAACCCCTCTGCAACTGTATATCACTGAATTTAAGACACCTCCCATCAGAAAATACACTATTATTTTATATATGACTAAGAAAGGAAGGGGAAAGCTGCCAAGGGAGCTAAGATGCAATGCTTTCTTATCACATTAATTTTAAGGCCCATCCCAATTTCAAAGATGTCAAAAATGTAAAAAAGTGCACATATCAGAATTAATGAAATATAATACACTCCTTTTCCATGAGAAAAACTTAAAGGATCTTCACTGATTTGGGTGGGAAATCCTATTAATATTATGGGGATAGAGAAAATGTTTAAAATTATTCTAAGAAACAAACTCTTAGCCATTTAGAGATAAACAGAGTTGCTTCTAATTTAAATATCCATTTTTCTTACTTTTTTTTTCTTATTTCTATGGGTAATAGTAAAGGGTTTTTTTTTTTTGGATGTTTGCAAAATCTTTGGTACCCCAATGCAATAAGAATACCATAAAGACAATTTTTTCATTGTTAAATGAAAATAAATATATATTATAATATATATATTTCTATATATATTATAAAATATATTGTTAATTATATTCCTTCCCTGTTAATTATGCATTTGCAACTGCATCTTTAACATCCTCTCAGAAATCTGAATGAATGAAAAGTAACCACTTATGGACACCAGAGGAAGCAGTAGGTAGATTTTGATATTTCCTTTGGTGTAGAACTCTAAGCAAAAGTGATTTATATTCAGTACTGGAATATTAGCCATAGCATCTAAATCTTACAATATTTTTTCCAAGTCTTTGTCTCTCCAGGCTGGGTGGCAATTCTGAATTGGATAAATATTCTTTTACAAATACTTGTATTAATGCCAATTACTTTACACAGAAAGATCTTTGGAGATGGATATTCCCGATCTCCATGTAAAATTCCCACATTTAATTTTAGTCTTTTTTTCTTTCTACTATTTTTTTTTTTTAACCTGTCTCTATTACTGGCTTCCCCATCTCAGATCAGTTTGAGGCAATTTCCACGGTTGGTTCCTAAGGAAATTTTTTCTTCTGTACTTAATTTGAGTGTTGCCCTTACTTAAAGCAAGCACAGAGCTATCCAAAAATTCATCTTTTGTTTCCCAATTTAGTTATGATGCTGTATTCTAAGCCCTCAAATCCACAACCACCATAAAAAAAATGTGAGCATGTTATTCAGCCCTATGAACTATTCTTTTGGAACTTCAACTCAAAAAACAAATGGCAGTCAGTATTGGAGGCTCCTTTTTTTTTTGTATGTGAATTCTTGCCTTCTCTTTATTTTTCAATTTTTTAAAAAATTTTAATCCTAGTATAGTTAACATACAGTGTTATATTAGTTTCAGGTGTACACAATAGTGATCCAACAATTCTATATATTACTCAGTGCCTATCATGATGGAGGCTCCTCATTTTAAGGAAATTGTAAATATGAAGTTAGGTCTTCAAAGGAAAGAAATATCCTCCATCATTCTCCATTAACAGGTATGAAAGGGTATTGTAACATTCAGATACTGCCAGTAACTGTTTGGCTTCCTATTTTCTGGACAGATTATGGAGTGTCCTTCTTGTTGCCTGTTCCATTTGTCTTGTCCTCTCCTACAGATATTACAGGCATTGCATCAACTTGTTCCAGGCACCAAGGAAGCCACTTGTATAATAAAACCTGATTGACAGGTGCTATCCTAGAACCTGAAAAATTGTTAAGAAGCAGTTTTCCTGCTTTACTTAAATCTAGGAGGCAAGGCAGTAGAATATTTTTTCTAAGAAACATTGGTTATAGAATAATTTTACTACCCTCATCCATTTCCTTATCTTCTCTATATTGTGGGGGGGATTCTCCCTTATGGGTCTTTGTACAGATTTGATTCAGTTTTTAATTTAAAGTTGTAATAATATTCTTTAGACCTGTGGAACTGAGCACTTCTTTACTTGATCATATAGAATAGAACTCCAACTACCTGTATTTGTTAATAGGTGAGAAAGGAGACCACATGCAAAGATCTGGAACAGTTGGGGTCCAGAACAACTGTTGTGATCAATTTACAAAGATATTTGTCCATAGTTGGATACCATAGCCAAAGATGGAATTACAGTCATATTGCCCAAAATTAACAAGCCACAACTACTAAAGATGCATGCAAGGCAAACTGAATTTGGATACTGATGAGCTTGAAAGGGGATACTTCATTCAGCTACCTCAGATTTAAACTGTTGCTTTTTTATGGTCTTGTTGAAAGCTTACTCTTTCCCACTGGGGCAGGGGGAAGGTGTATTCTTAGTGATCCTGTGTACCAAGAGGTTCTATTGATGGGCATATGTCTGGCCACCTGAGAACTATGTCTGAGTAGAATGTACTTAGACAAGTCAATTACTAATGGGAGTGCGTTTAACAATTCCCTGAAAAGGTGGAGGCGTGATTTCTTCCATGGCACTGACTTCAACCAAATTCACAGATGCTAAAGCCTGGCATTTAAAAATCTTTAATTTTTTCCTCATAGAACCATCATAAAATAAGCACATCCCCTTTTTTTATACCCTATCATCATGATCCTGGCGTGTTAGGTTTTGTTTCCTTTTTCCATTAATATCATTCCTGTGTTTCAATTTATGAAGTGTACTGCTTGGTTTCATTTGGGATTTGTATTTGTGTTTTTGTTTTCCATTCCTTTATATTTCTTTGGTTCGTAGTGTCAGAAGATGATGTTTTTTATGACAAACTGCCCTCGTTTGAAAGGCGCTGTGAAACGCTGGCAGGTATGGTGCTAGCCGAGTGATCTCTAGATATCCAGACTTTAAAAATCCAAGCCATTATGCCATCTGAATGCTGTAAACTTAATGGACATGCTAGTCACTTCATGAGTGTCTGATGCCTCTCAGATGCACCCTGTCTATTTATTATTCATCGAGGAACTCATATCACCAATTTTATAAGTGAACATATTAAAAAGCAGCAGGTTGCATGACAGTTTCTCAAAAGGTTTGAAAAAGGTGAGATGCTATTGCTTTGTGAATTTACAAAGGAAGGAATAATTTAACTGCTCAGAATTACATGTCCAGTGACTGCTTTTTAATTTAAAATATAATAGAACACCGTCAGTAATCTTGTTTTCTCTTTGGTACATAGGTAAAGGGTGTTTTGTGTCTGGATGCCTGAGGTGATTCCAGGGGAGGGGACGGAAGATATGTGACATCTTCCATGAACTTTAAATTGATATGCAATGCTGTTGTCATTTAAAACCTAAGCTAAGTTTGATATAATCCATAACTCCGAGTTTATCTTTTTGAAACTATAGAAGGGGATGACATTGAAGATGAAATGGATACAGCAATTGCTGAATGACCGTTTGCCCTAACTAGTGCAGTTAAAATATGCTGACGCCCCTGCATGGCCAGGAAGACTTCCGCTCCATGCGCCCAAGCACCGAGTATCAAGCTACCAACAACATGTGCCCATCCCTTTAGGCCTCCATAGCTTTGCTTTTGCTTTCTGTTTCCCGAACTAAAAACAAAAACTAAATCATAGATTGCCAGCCTTCCCTTTTTCCTGCACGCTAATGGCATGCAGTGCCTCCGCCCTCCCCCATAGTGAGATTAATGACCTGTAACTCATACTGTGTCCTTCTCTCTCCCTCTCCTTAACCTTTCCCATCCCGCTTCAACTCCTGGCCATACAGAGAATGAACAGCCTTCCCTCGTTTGGTTTGACAGAGGAAAGTTTTATTTGACTTTTGAAGGTAAGTAGTACATAGCATACCAGATTCTAATTTATACCCCGCATCCTTTTTTTCCCCTCTGCATTTCCAAATCCCAGTTCTCTTCAAAAGACCTGGTCTCACCTTCTATGTACAAATGCTATGGCTACTTAGAAAATATTAAATACTAAAGAAAATATGACATGAATTTGGTTTGTATGCATCTTCAATTTTTCATATTAAAAAAATCAAGCCAATTTGCAGTCAATATTGGTTACTTAATTAACTGTGTTAAATTGCGAAAAACAAAAAACAAAAAAACACCTTTTTTGGCCAAGGAACTTAACTCTGTCAACCAGGGCTCTTTCTTGACTCTTTTGCAAATGCAATACAACAAATGTAAGGATGTTTTTAGTTGGAATTGGCATTCAATTTTGTTTTGGATAATTAATATTTCAGATACAACATCCATCATTGTAAAACATAAATATGTATACATACTCTTATGACAAGGAATGCTGCATAGGAAATTTAAAAATGAGGAAAACAGTGAAAAGGAGTATTTTAGTAAATTCTATCTACTGAAATTGCAACTGACATGGCTATAGTAAAATGGACAACTATTACTGGACTTGCTATTTTAGAAAACTAAGGAGAAAATACATAGATATAATGTCAGATATTTAACCTCAATGTTGGATAGTTTGTTATATTCTGAATTCAGGATTAACATTTATCTGTTTTATATTTAAATTCTTAGCCATTTTAACAGACCAGGCATTTGATTAAAAGTTCAATATAGGCTAATTCTGAGGAAAATTTAAGTAATTTAACTGTGGGCCCTCTTACCCATAAGTATTTATCACTTAAGCCCCACTTTCTACCATTTTAAATAGCTAAATTTCTCCTAGGATCAAAAGTTGTCCAAAATATATTCTGCTCTTGAGTCAAATCTGAACATTCATCTTGTCTTTCTGTTCCATGACAACAAAAAGAACTTTCCTAACTTGAGTGTGTGTTTTATAGCAATTCTAAAAATCAGAATGACTGATACATATTTTTAAGTAGCCTGTGAGGTTGTGAGGTGGTGGCTTTTTTCTCTCTGGGATGAATTTTCCCTGCAAGATGGTCCTGGAGCTGGAAGTCCTTAGCTTGGAGTAGCTTGGATAGCAGCAGAAAAGAATGACCTGATTCAAGGTTTTCCAAATACCTGATGCCCAGTCCTGGCTCAGTTGGAGGACAGCTGAATAGGTAGTCTTCAGGCAAGGATGCATGTTTCCCACATGATGTCAGAAGCCTTCATCACCTCAGGTCATTACTTTTGTAATAACCAAGATGCAAAGTCCACAAACATGATCTTCTAAACTTTTTCTTTGAATCAGATGGAATTAAAAAGTGCCCAGGTGTCTTTTTACTGATCAGCACATCTCCAAAGGAGAAGCTATGGTTGAATAGGTTGGTAATCCCCAAGTACAGCCAATACCTGCATATGTAAAGGCTCTATCTCTGGTTCAGTCTGACCACAGCAGAATAGTTTACCTTGTTTCCATCAGGAAATTGAACAATATGCTACTGCTAATCCTCAAGTAATTGGGACTTCATAAAAAAGCAACTTGGATGGTTTTTGTTGTTTCCTTTTGTTTCGGTTTTAGAGTAGCTATTGGCTCCTTTGCTTGTGTTTGAGCTTGGGTTTCTTTAAATTAGAGAGACTTTTTAAAAAGATACCTGTCTAAAGACAATTTTAGATTGTTGATTTGTTTGTTTTTAAAATATATATTATCAATCAAATATAAGTTTTAATAACTGTGGAATAACATACTGTAAACTACAGTTTTTTCATTTTAGGAAAATACAATTATAATATATAATATACAACATAATATGAGGTATTTAAAGTTGATAACATAGCCATTCTAATTAGTAAGATCTGAATTTCATAAGCATCTTGATTTGGAACAAGAAAGTCATGCAAGAAAGTGTTTTAATAGAAATAAATCAGAATCTCTAGTACTGTTTTACCTTCATCTTGGACTTAGCTCAAGTCAAGGAAGTATAGAAAGGGCTTCCTGAGGGACTGTGGGAGCAGACATATCATAAATATATGCCCCTACTTGTCTCATTAAGAAATGCTTATGTAGGTAAAAGTACATTAAGATGAACTTTAGGACTTTAGAACTTATTTAGAAGAAATTAAACATGACACGTTGCCATCTGAGCATGAATGGCTATGTTTTTAGAGAAGGGTGGGGTGCCTGGATAACTCAATTGATTAAGTGTCCAACTCTGGTTTTGGCTTAGGTCATGATCTCAGGGTCATAAGATCAAGTTCCACATTGGGCTCCCTGGTGAAGCAGCTGACTCTTGGTTTCAGCTCAGGTCATGATCTTAGGGTTATGAGATCCACCCCTGCATTGGCTCCATGCTCTCTCCCCCATTGCTCCCTGTACATTAGCCTCAGGTATTTTTAGGTAGTGCAAGCTGGAAGGATTTTTTTGGTTCTGCTGTAATGATAAATGACATGGAAATTGCCTTGAGAATGTGCCCCTATCCAAATTTTTTTTCCTATCCAAATTTTAAACTCCAAAAGGACCATCATTCAACATGTTCTATCAAATAGCCCTTCTAGTATATTTAGTATATTCTTCTACGGCACTCCAGTTTTTTTTTTTGTTTGTTTTGTTTTTTTTTACAGCACTCCAGTTTTACCCAAATGTGGGTAAAACCATTCATATTATCATTTTCTTCAATTCTTCATTCAGGGAATAGAGAAAAAGATTCCCAGGTCAAATTATTCACCTGTTCTAACAGCGTTCTAGGCATTATAGTTATTCAGTAAGTGTTTGAGCCACTGAACAACCAACAACTAACTAATGAACATTGGCTTATGAATTTATTTGGAGATAAATGTGATAAGCTTCATACTTTCAAATTTGATTTAGCAAGAAAGATAGAAAAGTGTTAAACAATGGTTCTAACCCACAAGCGTCCAAAGCTCCTCTTACTGTTTCACTTTGGTAAATAATTTAAATAATTTCAGTAATATCTTAACCTATTTAAGTTGTTTTTTTTTTTACAAAGTAAAGGTTGCAAAATGTAATAAATTAATTCATCCAAGAGTATCCTATTGAAGCTATCAAGTATTCTTCTGAGATGGAAGGAAAGGAAAGATATTTCCATGACAAGTAGAAGATGAGACCATTAGACATTTGAACAATTTCCTAGAGCATTTTAACATGAACATGTTTCCAGAAATGTCCACTACTGTTCCTCTCTTTGATTAGCTTATTCAACTACAAAATCATCTTGTATTTGGTAATGAAAAATGAACAAACAAAAAGCCCTACAACCATTCTTAAGTGTCCTTGTGTCTGAATATCGTCTCCATCCTCTGTGCATACAGCCTCTTGCACACTTATTTCTAGACTGTTCTGTGCTCTTGCTATTGCTTTTACTCCTATCACGCCTTCGGAAATGTCACATCTTTAGCAACACCTCCTCTACATTCGCAGGCTCTCTGCCAACCTCGCCCACCTGTTTCTTTAACTGAATCCCAGCTCTCTTCAGGGACCATCACTTCTATAGCACTCAGCCTGAAAAGTTCTTCAGTCTTCTGTGGGCCATATGTCATGGGACTACAAGGCACTCTTTGAATTCCCCAATTGCCTGTTGCTGCTCACAACCAGACCACGTCCTGGTGAGCCTGTGTGCTGCCACCTGATAATTCCACCCCCTGTCACTCCTGATTGCTGTACACTACTGACCTACAGAGCATTCCTCTGCATTTAACTTCAGGCTTAGAGATTCTGGGAGCCCCCTTTGACCCTCTTCTTCACCTTGCTTCCTAGCTTATCCTGTGATGGAGATTGATGTGGATCACCCATCCAACACCCTGGTTTTAGGGCCTCTTTGACTTCTTCAGCTCCAACACACTTTCTCTCTACACTACTCAGTCATCCACACCTCTGACCACATCTTGGAAATGGTCCCCACTGGCAAGTGTCATTTTGCTATTTCGTAACCAAGAATTTGTCATCCTTTCTGTACACCAAGGATTGCATTAGGCAGTGATTTTTTTCATTTAACAAATATGTATTGAGGAGAACTTTGTGCTAGTACTGTGTAAGCACTCCCCAGTAGGAAACAAAAAAGAAAAAATATCCCTGTCACCATGGAGCTTACATTCTAATGTGAAGAATCAAAAATAAGAAGATAAATAAGTCATGGAGATGTTAGTAAGTTCTACAGAGAAAAATAAAATAGAGAAATACACTCCCAATGGAGCATATTGGAGATTGCAATTTTAAATAGGGGAGCCAGGAGTAATAAAAGAAATGGATAATAATAAATATTATCTGAGTGCTTATCTATGTGCAAAGTACATTCCACTATTATGTCATTTCATCTGAACCACTCAACAATGAGGAAATTAAGATTCAGAGAATGTAAGTAACTTTCAAAAGATCACTCAGCCAAGAAAGGGCACAGTAGGAATTTAAACCCAAGTGGCCTATCAATGATGCTTTACATACATGACCTCATTCAGTCTTTGCAATACCTGTTCAGGTCAGGGTTTCTGGTGGGTTTTCCCCCAATCTCCCTCCTGACCTTTCAGCTCTCCATTGCCCTAACTATACCTTGTCTCTGACCTCACTGAGACCTCTGGTCTCAGGTCCATCCTATTCTCACTGCCCTAGCACTAACCTACATTCAACTTCTTTTCTAGGGAGTTCTTTCCCCTAGAGGAAAAATATGTTTCTGTAATGACAATGACTTTAATTATTTCTTACAACAGCAGCTACATTTTCCTTCTTGGAATTACATTGTCTATGTGAAAAGAATTAACTCTTGACATTTTGAACTTCTGACCTCCTTCAGCAAGGTTTTAAATATCCTTACTGGGTAGTTGGTAAGGTAGAAGCATAGCAATGGACCAGTCAACTTTCCTTACCCTGACATAGTAATAACATCCTGTAAGAAGCAAACAGGTTAGATTTTTCACATGGGGCCAGAGGACATTAATTAATTCATCTGAGAGTCATTGG